CTCGAGATCAGCCTAAGCCACAGCAAGACTCCATCTCTAAAAATAGCCAAGGATTGTGGCAGGCACCCATAGTCCCAGCTACTCAGGAGGCAGAGAGAAGAGAATTGCTTAAGCCCAGGAGTTTGAGATTGCTGTGAGCTACGGCATCATAGCACTCTCTAAGGAGGGTGACAAAGTGAGACTCTTATCTCAGAAAAAAAAAAAATTCTCCTTTTAGGGAGAAAATCGTAACAAGAAAAAGTTAAGAAACCCAAGTAAAGTCATTGGGTAAGGACACTTAACAGCGTTAGATTGCTCAAAATGAGTATCACCCTAAGTTTACAGCACTTAATCTTCGCTAATGGGAAATCAGTAACATCTTGACAAAAATTATGCTTTACTGCCAAGGCTTGTGGCATAATGTCAATTTCTTATCTTTTTTTTTTTTTTTGAGACAAAGCCTCAAGCTGTCCCCCTGGGTAGAGTGCCGTAGCATCACAGCTCACAGCAACCTCCAACTCCTGGGCTCAAGCAATTCTCCTGCCTCCACCTCCCAAGTAGCTGGGACTACAGGGGCCTGCCAAAATGCCCGGCTATTTTTTGGTTGTAGCTGTCACTGTTGTTTGACGGGCCCAGGCTGGATTCAAACCTGCCAGCTCAGGTGTATGTGGCTGGCGCCTTAGCCACTTGAGCCATAGGCACCAAGCCTACGTTTAATATTTTTACTTATGCTTTGAAGCATACTTTCTTCATGTTTCTAAGAAGAATTTGAGTAGAAAACATTAAAATACAGAAAAGGACATTTACAAACGAGAGTTTAAAAGTTTTTGAGGCCAGGTGCAGTGGCTCATACCTGTAATCCTAGCACTCTGGGAGGCCCAGTCAGGAAGACTGCTTGAGCTCAGGAGTTGAATACCAGCCTGAGCATAAGCAAGACCCTGTCTCTTCAAACAACAGAAAAATTAGCTAGGCCCAGTAGTAGGTACCTGTAGTCTCAGCTACTCAAGAGGCTGAGGCGGGATGACAGTTAGAGCTCAGGAATTTAAGGTTACAGCACTATGATACCACCATTATACTCTAGCCTGGGCAAGACTCTGCCCTCCCCCCAACCTAAAAAATTAAAAAAAAAAATACATATATATGTATGATCTCAAAAATTATTTATGGTTATGGTAACAGCCACATACACCAAGGCTGGCGGGTTCAAACCCAGCCCGGGCCGGCTAAACAGCAATGACAACTGCAACAAAAAAATACCAAGAGTTGTGGTGGGCACCTGTAGTCCCAGCTACTTGGGAGGCTGAGGCAAGAGAATCACTTAAGTCCAAGAGTTTGAGGTTACTATGAGCTGTGATGCCACAATACTCTACTGAAGGTGACATAGTGAGATGCTGTCTCAAAAACAAACAAACAAAAAACTTATTTAAAGGGAGTTTAATTTCACTAAGCTCTACCTTAGAAACTTCCTGAAAAGGAGTGTAAAAGGATAGCAGTGTAAGTTAGAGTTCCTATCTGGGGGGAAAAAAAAAAGAACTATCTAAGTTTACTTGCAGAGCCCTGCCCCTCCCTGACTTCCTGACACTAACTCTAATTTCAAATTTAACTACATTTCATTAATGCCTGCTTTGTACAAATGCACTAAAGATGAAGAAATGTCAAGTAACATAATGGATATGGTCTATTTTTGCAGAATATAAAATTATTTTATTCACAGAAGTAATTATACCTAAAGGAACAATACCATAATACTAAGAAGTAAACACTTTGAGGAAACTATTTTTTTCTGGTGATCTAATTCAAAGTAGAAAGTGAACTTAAGAAAACATAAGGGCTTGGTGCCTGTGGCTCAAGTGGCTAAGGCGCCAGTCACGTACACCTAAGGTGTCAGGTTCGAATCCCCAGCCCAGGCCTGCCAAACGACAATGATGGCTGCAACCAAAACAATGGCCAGGCGTTGTGGCGGGCGCCTGTAGTCCCAGCTACTTGGGAGGCAGAGACAGGAGACTTGCTTGAGCCTAGGAGTTGGAAGTTAACGGTGATGCCATGGCACTCTACCCAGGGGGATAGCTTGAGGCTTTGTCTCAAAAAAAAAAAAAAAAAGAAAGAAAGAAAAGAAAACATAAGAACAGAAAGTGAAACTGTGGCAATTTCTTGAACGTCAATTGTTCTGAGCATGATTTTGGCAAGTAACTGATTGCCAATTTAAAAAACTTAAGAGAATAAAGTACAAAGTGTTATGTACTTTAAAATACAGTAGAAGCTCCATTGTTGACCACCTCAAATTGACCTAATTTTCACAGACCAGACATGTACCACATTTACATGTCAGTACAGTAGGTCTATTTATCATACTGAGCAATTCCACAGATTAACAAGTTAATGTTGGGTGGTCCTTTGGGTGGTCAACTTACAGAGGTTCTCCTATGATTAACAAAATAGCAAAAGAAACTATTAAAAAAACTAAAAAAACTATAGAGTTTGTTTTTATTTCACTCAGAGAGCTGGCCTACACCCCAAAAAACAGGAGTCATTTTTTCAAAGTAGATGAGACTTTTTGGCATGGAATATAAAGTACACATCAAAAGAAACATGGACTTCCATGACTTTTTTTCAAAATTCATAACATGTGGTTATGTCCTCAAATCTAAGAACATCACTGGTGGCTGAATAAAGCAAGACCACATCGCTACTAAAAATAGAAAAATTCACCAGGTGTGGTGGCAGGCCTCTGTAGTCCCAGCTACTCAGGAAGCTGAGGCAGGAGACCAGGAATTTGAGGATGCTTTCAGCTGGGCTGAGACCTGGGCAAGAAAGTAAGACAAAGAAATAAAAGAAAAGAAAGAAGAGAAAAGTAAGGAAAAAAAGAAATAAATCATTGACCTGGTATTGGTGAAGCCTAGCAAATCTTAATAACGTATAAAAATTTTTCTTTTAAGGGAAAATTAATCCTCTGTAATGACTAAGTTTTTCTACAACTTGGTGTATTTTTTGGTATAACTTGGTTCTTCTTGAAGTGTATTTTACAAACTCCATCTGACTATACTGAATCACAAATGGGTGTGTCCAGACAATATCCAAGCTGCAGGACAGAAATAAGTGCAACTCTGAGCATTAACCAAAAAGAAAGTTGATACATAAAAATATAGGCTGCTTTACCTCAGAGCTATACCTGAGGTACAGCTCTAATTTTCACAGACTTATCCTTTGGTATCACTTCCCAGTATCAGATAGCCAATCCAAATACCAATACCACTTCCCAATATCAAATACCAATTCCTCTCCTCTACACTTTCCAGCTAAACATCTTGAGAAATTTATTTATTTATTTTTTTCTGAGACAGAGTCTCACTTTGTTGCCCTGGGTAGAACACCACGGCATCACAGCTCACAGCAACCTCAATTTCTTGGGCTCAAGTGATCCTCTTGCCTCAGCCACCCAAGTAGCTGGGACTATAGGCACCTGCCACAAGGCCCAGAAACAGGGTCTTGCTCTTGTTCAGGCTAGTCTCAAACTCCTGAGCTCAAGCCATTTACTCACCTTGGCCTCTCAGATGAAACAGTAATTTAGATTTACTAATTCCCACTTCTTCAGCAACTCTGCATTTTGGCTTCTATCCATGCAGGAATGATTTCACAGAACAGAAGTCCCTAACGATCTCTGTATTACTAAATCCAATAGGCTCTTCACTTGACTCTTCGAAAGCATGCGGAAAACAGTGACCATGCATTCTACAGCTACAACAAACCATTTGCCTGACACTTCCTCTACCCAATCTTCACAATCACCTTTTCCTTTGTTCCCCATCTAAATATCAAAGTTTCCAAGGGCTTGTCCTAAGATTTCTAACCTCTCCATTCCATACCCTCTTTCTGGGTGACCCCTTTGCAAACCACTGCTCCAACTACTACCTATATTGGAGCTTCTTGAGGACTAAGAATGTACTATAAAACACTAAATGCAAAGCACTATTTTCCAACCACTCAGTAAATGGCAGCCTAGCCTAGAACTCCAGATATATTCAATGTCCAACAGCACACAGTGTATTTCCATTCAATGTCTGACAGGGATGTCAAGGTAAACAACCAAAACAGAACAAAGTCTGTCCCTTAAATCTGTTATTTGTCCTCTATTCCCCACATTGATGGCATTGCTATCTGCTCAATTTTTAAATCAATGACATGAGAATCATCCCATATACTACTCCTTTGGCCTCCATCTGAGTTAAAGAGACCTTACCTCCTTCATTACACCTGTACTTTCTTCTCACTAAAACTTCCACTACCTTAATTTAATACATTTTCATTATCTGTCTGGATTACTGAAAAAACCTAAATGATCTCTCTGCTACCAATTTCTCCTCCAAAATGTTGCCAGAAGCTAAAGCACAAACTGAATTTCAAAAACACAAATGACAATTCTTACCGAGTTTTTGGAAAAAATTCAAACTGTTGAGCTCAATACACAAGGCCCCTCCATGGGGTGGCACCTGTGGCTCAAAGGAGTAGGATGCTGGCCCCATATACCGGAGGTGGTGGGTTCAAACCCTGACCCCAGTCAACAACTACAAAAAAAAAACCAAACCCAAAACCAAAAACAAGGCCCCACCATGATCTATCTTCAGCCTCATTTCCTGCTACTCTACACATTACCTCCCTTCACTTTGTCTTCCTGAAACGACCTTTGATGATATCTGGTGTCCCCTGCCTCTATGGAAGTTCTTCCACCTACCTTGAATGTCCACCTTTCTGCCTGATTCTTAACTCACACATCAGACTCAACTCAGAAACTTTTTAAAAAAGTTAAATGATAAGATCCTGTCCATGAAGTTTAGCTTCACATTTAAAGAACTCCACTAAGTGATTCTGATGGAAAGATGGACTCGAGAACAAGTGTGTGCAACCCACCAGGAGTGTTATCAGGTCTGGAAAGCTGCTTTAACCCATCTCTCTTTTCCAATCTGTCTGTGATAGTCATCACTAGTCCCTCAGAACTCTACACCTATTTCTGACATTGCACTTACCTTGGCGGTCTGAACTCCCGTTTCCAAAAGTAATTACCTGGGTAAATGGCCTATAGAAAAGTTATTGTCTCAGTCGAGTTTGCTGGGCTTTATTTGCGAATGAGTGAGAATTTGTCCTCATATATCCCCAGACTTTGGCCCCAAAAGAACATTTCTGAAATAAAAAAGAAACAGAAGTGGTTTTTATACTCTTTACCTCATCTGCGCCTTCTGTCTGTCCTATGGTACAGAGATAGTGCCACCTGATGAAGAAGCTCAGAAAAGTTAAGGTTAGACAACTTGTCAGTGGACACACAAGTAAGGAACGAAGGGCAGAAGCGCGGTTCTGACTCCCACTTCCACGGGGGCTGTCTAGGCACTTAAAAGCTCCCCAAATTAGCCAGAGCAGGTAACAGCAGGCCTTGGATCGTCCCTAACAGTTCAACCTCTTGTCAAACAGCAAAGGGGATGCTTTTCCCTACAGCAGTCGACCCCATTTCGGTCTGGGCCATGCGAATCTCGGGCACGTCCATGGCTCCAGGTAAGAGAACAGGGTGGACAAAGCCCTGCGGCTCGCAGAAAGCGCCCGGCACCTTCGGGGAGGGCCCGAACGGCCAATCGGGAGACCCTCGGGCGGGAGGGGGGAAGGGGCCGTAGGTAGAAGGGACACTTTCCATAGCGAGACCTCTCACTTATACCCACCGAAACTACGCAGTACCCACGCCAAAAATAGCTCACAAGAGTCCGCGCTGTAGACAGCGGAGAATAAACCGGGTACCCGGGGCGCGGCCCCAGCCCCGGCGTGCAGAAAGGACGGCAGTACGGCCCGCAGCCGCCGAGAGGTGCTCCCGCCTCCGGCGCCTCGACCCTCCTGAGAGAATCTGCCCAGCGCGCGCCGCCCCTCCCCCACCCGCCCGCCGTCACGCGCACGAGCGACCGTTACTCGACACGGGCCCACGCGCGCCCAAGCTGCGCGCGCGCCCACGCCTGCCCGGCCTGCAGCCTCGAGACCCCAGCGCTCCTTACCCTGCTTAACCTCGCGACAACTCCTAGCCCACCTCCATGCCTCGGCCCTGCAGCCAGCCGCAGGCGGAAGTGAGGGCCCGCAGCTCAGGCACCCAATCTGCAATCGCCGTGAAGGCAAGCCCCGCCTCCACCGTGGCGTCCGCCGTCCGCAGGCCCCGCCCCGTCCACCGCCTGCCTGTTTTGGTACGCCAAGGGGCGGGGCGTGGGAAGAAGAGCAACAGGGCGCCGCAGACCAGCCCAGACGCTACTCGCTGACGTCACATCCGGGCCGCTGGGGACCGACCAATCAAGAGTGAACGTTAAGAGGCCTCGGAAAGTTTGCAGGTAGGCCCCGACTTCCTCCCGGCGGGGCGCCCCCGGGACGGGATTAGGCTGGGGAGGGGTCTGGCCTACCCTCCCGCCGTTTCTGTTCCGTTCTTTTTCTCTTGGCAACGCCTCAGGTGTTTGAGGGGGCGTGTCAAAAGAATAGATTTTCTTTAAAGACCTAAAATATACTGTAACTTATGTAAACATGGAATTTCGGGGTAATACACAAGGTGTCCATAAAGTTCGTGAACAATTTAAATTTAAAACACTTGTCTATTTTAAATTGCACACGAACTTTATGGATACTCTGTATATACTCTAAATTACAGGAAAGGGATACATTAAGTATCGTAAAGAGTACAAGCGATAAATACTAAGTAAAATCCAGTGGAAAGCCTGCTCGCTCCCGCTTTGTTAACTATCGCCTTCCCCTGACCGGTTAATGAGGCATCACCACTGTCTTACGCTCTCACGGCGGCCACGGTAAAATAAATAATTACTAGTAGTAACTCATGCTGTAAAGAAAAGCAGAGGAGGAGCTGGCCCCGCCTCCGGGCGGTCCCGGACAGTCTTACCGCGCAGAACCTCAGCCCGTGGATGCGAAGTAAGCCCAGTGAGAACGGGGAGACCCCGGCGGAGGAACGTTCCAGTAAGGGGCGTGGCTTGTGGGGGGCGAGACGTCGGTTGCGAAAATTTAGGAATCGGGCGATCGCGGGAAGTGAAGTTGGTGGCAGTTATTTGCCTCTTTTAGGGGTTTTTTCGCTACCCTAGTATTCTGGCCCTATTCAAAGAAAGTGTTTAAGAAAATTACAAAACTGTTTCAAACTATACAGTGGTATAAATTGTGCTGTGTATCCTTCTAAAAATAATTACATTTATGTAATACTTTTTTACAAAAGACCTGGCTATTGAAAAAAATTGTTTCTTTTACAGAAATAAACACGACGCTAAAAACCGCCCGAATTACTATGTCCCGTAAACGCTAGTTAACGAGGTGTATATTGTTGCAGAATTTATGACATAGATTTAGCTGTATGTATATGGCCTTGGCCTCCCGAATAACTGGGACTACAGGCACCCACCAGAACGCCTGGCTATTTTTTGGTTGTCATTGTCATTGTCATTGTTGTTTGGTGGCCCGGGCTGGATTCCAACCCGCCAGCTCCGGTGTATGTGGCTGGCGCCCTAGCCTCTGAGTTACAGGCGACGAGCCTTGCTGTATATTTCTTAAATTGATAATAAAGTATATGTGAAAAAATAGAAATGCCAAACTACTCCCCACAGTGTAAGAAACAGAACATTAGATTCTGAACAAGGAGATTTAACCAGTAGACACTATAACTGAGGGCAAGGCATTGGAATAGTTTGAGGGACACAAAAAGTAATTCACCTGCTTATAAAATCAGAAAAAAGGGAAAAACTTTAGGTTGAAGAAAATGCTTTACTGTATCACACAACTATATTAGTCTTTATACCAACACAGTCATAAAATGTAACTTTTGTCTTTTTTTTTTTTTTTTTTGCAGTTTTTGGTGGGGGCTGGGTTTGAACCCACCACCTCCAGTATATGGGGCCAGCATCCTACTCCTTTGAGCCACAGGCGCCTCCCAACTTTCATAATTTTTTTAAGGAGAAAAGTGCCATGAAGGCAAAAGTGGGTGCAGCAAACAAAACTCTTAATTTCATCCTATCTCTGAAGCGTTCTATGGGCCTTACCTTATAATCATCTCACATTTGTTTTTACCTATAACAGCACATTAATAAGTTTTGCATGCTTTTGAACTTTTGATATGGAATTATACTAAGGGCGTTTTTCTGCAAATTGCTTCTTTTTTTATTTTTTTATTTTATTAAAAAAATATATAACACTTCACGAATTTGCGTGTCATCCTTGCGCAGGGGCCATGCTAATCTTCTCTGTATGGTTCCAATTTTAGTATATGTGCTGCAGAAGCAAGCACTGCAAATTGCTTCTTTTACTCTGAACATTATGTCCTGATACTCATCCATCCAAGGTGCATTCAGGTATTGTAGAGCCCAAAGCTTACACTTGTAGGATGTTCTTAAACAGAAGCACTGCAGTAAAATTTGTGAATACAAAATTAGAAGTGAAAATTAGTACTTATTTGGAATGAATAAAGTACAAATCACAAATTTTTAAAACTGACAAAACAAGAATGGTGGCTCATGCCTGTAATCCCAGCGCTTTGGAAGGCTGAGGCAGGCAAGGAGTTCAAGAACAGTCTGGACAAAAGGAAGACACTGTCCTTGGAAAAATTTTAAAATTATCAGGCCATGGTAGTGAAACTGTGTTGGAGCTTTAAACCGCCGGGTTTTGTGTGGTCAAGGAATTGAAAGATACATCACTAACAAACAGAAGAGGATGGGCAACTTTCTTTTGGGAAAAAGCAGCCGGAAAAAAGAAAACTTGTCATTTTCACAGGCAATTTCTCTTAGGGAGAAACCCAGATAAATTGGGAGGCACTTCAAGCCACACTAAGTTATACTTTGAACAGAGGCTTTCAATTGACACATCTCTTCTGAGCGGACAGGATAAAATAAAGAGTACATGTCACATTAGAGTATTCGGAGTTTATTGATAGACATAAAAAAGCTCTACAAAAATTATGACAAGGGGGCAGTGCCTGTGGCTCAGTGGGTAGGGCGCCGGCCTCGTATACCAAGGGTGGTGGGTTGGAACCCAGCCCCAGCCAAACTGCAACAACAACAACAAAAAAAATGGGGTTGTGGAGGGCACCTTGTAGTCCCTGTTACTTAGGCAAGAGAATGGTCTAAGACTCAGGGGTCCTCAAACTTTTTTTAAACAGGGGGCCAGTTCACTGTCCCTCAGACCATTGGAGGCCAGACTGCGGGCCCTGGGACAAGTCAGCTGCTAAGCAGGACAAGCAGTGGCGGCAAAAACACCCAGTGGGCCGGATAAATGTCCTAGGTGGGCAGCATGTGGCCCATGGGCCGTAGTCTGAGGACACCTGGAAGTCCAGGAGTTAGAGGTTGCTGTGAGCTGTGATGCCATGGCACTCTACCAAGGGTGATAAAGTGAGACTCTGTCTCTAAAAAAAAATTTAAAAATTGAGGGGTGCCTGTGGCTCAAAGGAGTAGGGCCCTGGCCCCATATACTGGAGGTGGTGGGTTCAAACCCAGCCCCGGCCAAAAACTGCAAAATAAATAAATAAATAAAAATTAAAAATAAATAAGACAAGGCTTAACAGTAGAGGGGTGGCAGAAATGGCTCACCAATCTTTACTCAAATTTTTATTTCTTAGACACAGCAAAGCTAACCTTTTTTCAGTGTGGCATTCTTTCTGAATTTGCAAAGATCATATTAACCCTTAGTATAACTCAGTGACTTATTACAACATTCCACTTCAAAAGTTAATCTCCTAAAATCAATCCACCTGAGCTACATAAATAGCTATCTTTAGGGTGAGAGCTAAATTTACAAAAGAGTAAGAATGGGAGACAGTGAAGGTCAGGCAGGACCTAAACCACCTAGACCAGCTGTGTCAAATGAGAGACTCCGAGGTGAAGGTCAGGCAGGACCTAAACCACAGCTGTGTCATGTCCACTGTAGCCTGCATGACTCCATCTTATTCTCACTACATGTACTTTAACAGACTCCCCTGTGCCCTGTTTTTCCATGTCTGCCTTTGAATAAGTTCATTCCTACATTAATCTTCTCTGGCCCTATGCTTTGTTTTGTCAGTTTTGACTCTGCTCTCTGCGTTACAGAGTTCCCTCTGAATAATAAACATTGTCTGCTTTTTGCTTTTCAGAGACCCACTTCAGTAGTATATTCCCCTAGTCCTAGCTGGAGACTAAGGTAGGAGGATCACTTGAGCCCAGTTCAAGGCTACAATGAGCTATGATAGAACCACTGCACTCCTGGGCAACAGAGTAAGACCTTGTCTCTAGTTAATAATAATAACAATGGCAAAACTCACAAAGAAACATAAAAAAGGGACATAACATTTAAACTGCCAACTCAATTCCATAAAAGTTACATATTTTGGTTGCATATACTTTACCTCAATTAAGAATAAAGTGTAAGTGGCTTGATGCCTGTGGCTCAAGCAGGTAAGGCACCAGCCACATAACACCTGAGCTGGCAGGTTCAAAGCCAGCCCAGGCCCACCAAACAACAATGCTGGCTACAACCAAAAAACAGCTGAGCATTGTGGCAGGCGCCTGTAGTCCCAGCTACTCAGGAGGCTGAGGCAAGAGAATTGCCTAGGCCCAAGAGTTGGAGGTTGCTGTGAGCTGTGTGACACCACGGCACTCTATCGAGGGTGATAAAGTGAGACTCTGTCTCTACAAAAAAAAAAAAATATATATATATATATATATATGTATATATGTTTTTATTTAGCCTGGATAAATATCCATGAGGGGAATGGCTGGATTATAGGGAAATAATCTTTATAAGAAATAATCAACTCATTTTCAAAAGTGGTTTTACCATTTTACATTCACATAAAGCAATATATGAGAGTTTCCGTGCTCCACAAACTTGTCAACACTTCTACTGGGAATCTTTTTAATGTTAGTCATTCTTGTGGGTTACAAGTGCTCCTCATTTGTATTTCTCTGATAACTAATGAAGTAGAATATCTTGTCCTGTGCTTATTGGCAACAAGTATATCATATTTTGTGAATTGTTTGTATGTGTCCTTTGGCCATTTTTAATTGGGTTGTTTGTTTTATTACTCAATTGTAAGAGTTCTGTATA